CGGTACCGAAAGAACCAAAGAAGATAGCCCAGTTAGTACGGTTAATGTCACGTAAAGAGCACGTGGCCAATTCGTCACTAGTACGGCGCCACCAGCTGTGTGTTGGGAGAGCAAAGGCACGACATTTGCAACCCGAGTACGACGTTTCGACGTTTGGTAATCACGGCCAGCTTCATCGGGCGGCAGCCAGATTGCGTCGTTGACACCCAGGCGGCTTCAACGACGCGTTTATTCACGCAATCAAAAAAATCACGGATCATTTTGATCGCGAAAAACCCCCTGCACGTTCAACCGAACCCGATGCGGTTATTAACATTGTGCATGTTTTTTTTGTAACGATTAAAAAAACACAAAAGGGGCGCGAGGCTACAGCAAAGGTTAAGAACCACTGGTCGAGACCTACACCCACCCCACCCCCCCGCCCGCTCCCTTTGCCTTCCCGTCCCACCACCCCCCCCCCGGCCCGTTCCACCCACGCCGCAGGAACCCCCCCCCCCCCGCCCGAGCGGCGGAGGCGGCGGCGGGCTAACCATCGGCTTTCGGCGACGGGGGCGTGCTCCCACCACCGGCCAGGCGGCAACGGGCAGGCCAGCGTAACAAGTCGCAGGCCGTGGTCGTAGCAGCAGGGATTTCTCGCGGGCAACGTTGCCCGCGGTAGGGGGGTTCGGTCGCGTCGACGTGAATGCCGTGCCGTTAAACCTCGCCGCCGCCGCCGCTGCCGCCGCCCCGACACATGGCCAATTAGTACAGGGGGGGTGGGGGGTTTGCGTCACGTAAACGAAACGTGGCTAGCACAGCAGCACGCCGGCTAAACCCAGGAGGATTTCTCCACGACGCAGGCTTGTCGCCCGATGACGCCAAGCTGCAATTGCCTGCGGAACGTCACGGCTACTCGGATTGCAGACCGGTGCGGTGGGGGGGGTTTCACTCTCCAACTCACAACGAGGCGGCGCGGCGCGGTGCTGTCCTGAGCAGACGAATCGGCCACGTGTTTCATGTTCTCGGCTCTTTCGGTTAAAGTCACGTTGAAGGGAAACAACAAAATAATATAAAATGTATATAAAACAATAAAAAAAATTCTCACGCCGTTTCGACCACAACACAAACGGTCGTCTTATTATTTTGTTGTTTCCCTTCAACGCGACTTTACCGAAAGAACCAAGAATATGAATTACTGCAGTCACGAAAGCTTTACATCGTGTTGTTCACGCGACAAGTTAATACCAGTTGGTCACGTCGGGCGGCGGCGGGTTTATCGACGCACGTTCGTTACTTGCGCGCTCCGACTCCAAACACCTCCGTTGTGAACGGCAAGACGGTCCCGGTCAAACCGACGGCACCACCCCCCCCCCCCACGCCCGCCCCCCCCCCCCCCCCCCCCCCCCCGAGGAGGGCCGGCGAGAGGCGACGGCGGTGGCACGCTTCACGGCACCGCTCGCCGCACGCGTCAACCCTCGTCACCGTCACACCGTCACCTCGGCGTTTCGCACTCTCGCCTCGCAGGTGACGGTGATGGCGATAATGGTGATAGACAATGACGATGGTGGTGGTGATGATGGTGATGATGGTGATGATGATGATAATGTACCCGCGACGTTACGGGGGAGGCGAAGGCCGGCACGGCGCTCAGCCCCTGACGAGGGGGGACGGGGGGGGGGGGTGACAGGGGCGGCACAGCGGACGGTCGCGGTTGAAGCAGCGGGAGGGGGGGGGGTAAGACGAAGACCGCGAGTAGAAATAACAAAAAATAAACAAACGAACCGGGATCGATGCTTTCGCGTGCACGCGGGCGGTCCCTCTGAAGGCCACGGCTACCCCCCCCCCCCAACCTCCCCCACCCCCCAATCCACCCCCACGTGACCGTGCAGCAGCGCCGACCGCAGAAACTATCCCAAGGTGAAGAAGTTGCGAACCCCGCTCGCCCGAATCCCACGCTCGCTCCAATCCCACGCTCGCCCGAATCCCACGCTGGCTCCAATCCCACGCTGGCTCGAATCCCACGCTCGCTCCAATCCCACGCTCGCCCGAATCCCACGCTCGCTCCAATCCCACGCTCGCCCGAATCCCACGCTGGTACCAATCCCACGCTCGCCCGAATCCCACGCTCGCTCCAATCCCACGCTCGCTCGAATCCCACGCTCGCTCGAATCCCACGCTCGCTCGAATCCCACGCTCGCCCGAATCCCACGCTCGCCCGAATCCCACGCTCGCTCGAATCCCACGCTCGCCCGAATCCCACGCTCGCTCGAATCCCACGCTCGCCCGAATCCCACGCTCGCCCGCCCGCCCGCCCGCTCGGCCGGCCGCCGCGAAACGAAACGGGAGGGGGGGGGGTGGACGCCTCGCCAAGGAACCCCGCGTCGCCGTGCCCCAATTACCGCGGCGTGCCTTCGCCCGCAACAAAACAAAACCTGCTCGGTTCCAACGACCGCAGTTTGCCGGGAAGCGGGCGCAACCGGCGGGGAACGCGCCTCATTCGGGGGAGGACGGGGGGACGTCGCACGCGAGCGACGGCAACGGAGCGTGGTTGCCGCGGCCTGCCCAAAGCGAAACGACGCATCGCGCAGCCGGAAACCCCGGCGCGCCGTGACGGAGGTGACGGTTTTGCTAAAAAAAAAAAAAAAAAATTTCTCGGGGCTTGCTGACCGCGCAACGAGAGTGGGCAAAACAACCTTGTTGGATTTCGCGGGGCGGGGAAAAAGGTCGCGTGACAAAAAAGAAAAGCAGGGAAGAGATGAGCCTCAGCATTTGCAGAGCCGCGGGCGTCGCTGACAAAGAGGGTGCCGGCACACTTCGGTGGCCCCAGCGACTAACGAGCGCGCGTCGGCGGGAGCCGGAGAACAGCGTAGAAAAGCCACCGGGAGCACACACACACACGCACACACACGCACACACACGCACACACACGCGCGCACAAACACACACGCACACACACACGCGCACACACGCGCACACACACGCGCACACACACGCACACACACGCACACACACGCGCGCACAAACACACGCGCAAACACACGCGCACATGGACACCAACAGATCCACGCAGACAGATTCAAGGATCTGTACGTTGACGGGGAGAGGGGGGGATGGGGCTGAATTCAATCGATTCCGAGGCTGACCAGGGCCACACCCCCCCCCCCAGCCCCCCCACAAGCCTCCTCTCCTTGGATTCCGAGAGCGGGAGAAGATTAGGCGCGACCGGGAGTTGTAAGAAGGGGCGATCTGCCCGTTGGCCGGGCGGCCGCGCGCATCGCGGGAGCACCCCCGGCCGGGCGCCGTTGGCGGGGCGGCCGGGAGGGAGGGCCGGCCGCTCCGGTGCCGCTCCGGTGCCGCTCCGGTGCCACCGCCGCCACCATCGCGGTGAGCCTCATTAAGCCGGCGAGGGGAGGGGCGCGCACGGAAGGGGATCACGGTTCGCGGCCCGGGTCGGCACGCACACGTATCGCCTTAACAGACTGTTGGGGCGAGTGCTGTTAGCGAGCATCACCTATGAAGGCCGGCACGGCACACGAGGGCGTGGGTTGACAACACCACGCCCGGCCGCCTTTGTCTCTCCCGAGTGGCGATGATTACACAGAGCGCCAGGCACTCATTTGAGGTCTTGGCCGTGAGCGGGAATCGAAACTCGGCTCGCTGGGTTCACGGAGCGTCCACGCGCAACAAAGAAAACAAAAGATCCACCGTGTAGCCTTAGCAGACTGTTGGGGCAAGTGCTGTTAGCGAGCACCTGTGAAGGCCGGCACGGCACACCACGCCCAGCCACCTTTGTCTCCCCAGTGGTGATGTTTACCCACCACACCGGGTACTCATTTCAGGCTGAGTCGACCTCGGGGGGAGGCCCAAGACCGGCTCAGATAATCGTCACCGATGTCGGCCGTGAGCGGGGAATCGAACTCGGGCCGCCGGGTTCGCAGCGCAGCGGCCGACCGCCGCCCCTCAGCAGCAACACACACGCACGGTGCAAACACACACAAACACACACACAAACACACACACGCACGGCGCACACACAAACACACACACGCACGGCGCACACACAAACACACACACGCACGGCGCACACACACGCACGGCGCACACAAACACGCACGGCGCACACACACGCACGGCGCACACACAAACACACACACGCACACAAACACACACACGCACGGCGCACACACACGCACGGCGCGCACACACACACACACACACGCACGGCGCACACACACACACGCACACACACACGCACGCACGGCGCACACACACGCACGCACGGCGCACACACACACACACACGGCGCACACACACACGCACACACACACACGGCGCACACACACACACACGCACACACACACACACACGCACGGTGCACACACACACACACACACGCACACACACACACACACGCACGGCGCTTCTGCGGAGGAGGCAGCAGCGTAGGCGCGACCGCGAGAATGACGCCCACCACGGTAACAACCACGTGGGGGAGCGGGCCATGGGTGGGCGGAATTAATGCGGCGGGGGGAAGGTCACGTCCGCCACAGAGAGTTCAAAAGCGCGGGGCTTGCAACCAGCCACGCGACGGCGGTTACCCCCCCCCCCCCCCCCCCCCCCGCCCCCCACCGGCAGTGCGGGATGAGGGGGGGGGGGGGGGTTTCACTCGGAAAATGATCTCGGAAGTCTCCTTCTGCGGGCCGCTCTCAAACACGGGAGTGGGGGAGGCTGCGAGAGCTCCGAACGCACGAGGTCCCCTCTCCACGCGAAGGCACAACAGCATCAAACTGTGAAAAGCAATGTGCGCATGAGCAAGCACAAAGATCCCCCGTGTAGCCTGCAACAGACTGTTGGGGAAAGTGCTGCTGGAGAGCGGCACCTACGAAGGCCGGCACACGTCACACGAGGGGGTGGGTGGCCAGCACCCCGGCCCGGCCGCCTTTGTCTCCCCGTTGGCGATGTTTACACATTGCACCAGGTACACACACGCATACACACACGCACACACGCAAGCGGCTCACCGCTCCGTGTGCTGGCGGTCCGTGTCGTGGAGGCGAGCGAGCCGCCCGGCGTGCTGCAGGCACTCGCGCAGGCCCCCCGCCTCCTGCTCGTGCTGCATGCCGCTCACGCCCAGCGCCAGCAACTGCACGCCACGCGGGACCGGTAATCAAGTGTTATCGTGAGCGCGGATCCAACTCGGGCCGCCGGCGGGTTGGTGCGACCCCGCCGAGGCCGACGTGGCCAGCGCCGTGCACCGGCCGCCTTCGCCTCCCCGGCGGCAAAACCGGGTTGGCTCCCCCGGACTTCGGCGAGGGCCCCGGGACCGGGCTCGGATATCCGTCGCCGATGCTTGCCGGCGAGCGGGAACCGAGCGTCGGGGGGAACCCGCCGGGGGGCAGCGCCGGAGTGAAGCCGCCGCCGCGGGCCCCCCAATCGCCCCACCCCACCCCCCGCGGTGCGTCTCTCCCACCTGCGAGAGGGCGCCGTCGGGCTCGTCCGAGGGCTGCACGGCCGCCGCCGCCTGCACCCTGAGCCGCTCCGTATTGTCCTTGAGCCGGGTCTCCACGGCGCGCCGTCGCTCCTCCATGTGCTCGCGCCGCGCCCGAGACGCCGCCGTGCACCGCTCCAGCCGGCCCGTCGCCTGCGCACGCCAAGGGCACCGACGACGGGTCAACACCCCGAAGGGGTGGCCCCCCTTCATACGGGACGCCGGGTAGCGGGCGCCCACCAAGGCCGGCACGCGGTGGCACGCGGTGGGGCGAGCTGGCTCCACAATTGCCGGTGAGGCCGAGTCGACCTAGGGGAAAGGCCCGGTGGGGGGGGGTGGGGGTTCGTAGCGCGGCGCACCGACCCACTGCGGAGGTTCGCAGGTTCCCGGGACCCCCGCGGCGGCCGTCCTGGTAAAACAACCGCCGGGCACGATGGCCACGCGTCGCAGCGAACGTTGAAGGCCTCTCTCCCCCGGCGACGCCGCTGGAACGGCGGCGCGCGGATCCGAACGAGCGAAATCGCCCGCAGGCCGCGCCGGCTGGGGAAGCGACCGACCGTCGCCGCCCCCCCCCCCCCCCCCCCAACTACGAGACGATGGGCAGGCTTCTGCCCCGGCGAGCCGTCAACGTCTGGGGGGGGGGGGGGCACCTCGCGACCCCGAAGCCGACAGCAGTAGCCAGGGGTCGGGGTGGAGGCACCCACAATAACAGGGAGAGGCTTTTTACCCTAAACCGGTGGTTCTTCACCCCAGAAGGGGGCATCTCGCACACCCCCAGGTTAAGAACCACTGCGCTAAACGCTTCGTTCCCAAACGTGGCAGGGGAAAACCGGAGGACCTGGAGAAGAATCCACGCAAGCACGGGGAGAGACGCAAGCGAGCTCCGTCTCGCCCGTCTCTCTCGTCACTCTACGTGTGTCTCTCCCGATTGAGCTCCTTTCTCTGTCTGTCTGTCTGTATCGATGTCCATCTGCATCTCTTCGCCTCTGTATCTGTCTCTCATCTATGTCTCTCCGCATCCATCTCCGTGTTCTGTATCCCTATCGTCTCGACCCTCAGAGTTCACCCATTACCCTGTGGCATGCTGTTCCAATGTTTTCGAGCAGCATTTGTTCTCTCCGTGCAAAGCAATGGGCGTTTTTTTTTTAATCAGCAGGGTGAAGTTCGGCCTTCTGCCAGCTCAACAAAGAATGACCCGTGGCGGCAGATGGACCTAAATGGCAAGTTTTATTCTTCAAGATTGTGTCGTCAAGAATCTCCACCGGCCGACGGAGCAAGACGAATTGACTGGTCACCTGGTGTACACGCGTTTAAAGCGTTTCTGGCAAAGGAGGTCTCATAATGTTAATGCTCACCCCGAGCCCTCAATACTCTGATAGTGCGCTGTTTTTGAGTTGTACGCCTTTTGGCGTCTTCTGGTCCAACACCAATGGAGACTAGGCTCTAAGAAAAGCTGTCTCGGGTGTGGACCAATCAAATTCAAGGACAGTGCATATTATTATCAGAGTTGTCTTTTTTGTTTGCATTTTGACTGCTTGTGTTGTGGTTATTGCAAACATGATGCCTTGAATAAAGGTGTCAGTTTTTGTGCCAGTTAAAAGGGTAAAACCTATTCTTATATCTTGTTACTGGCAAAGGAGGTCTCATAATGACAACTATTATTTGAATTTTGATTTAAAGCTTTCGTGACTGCAGTAATTCATATTCTTAGTTTTTTCGGTAAAGTCACGTTGAAGGGAAACAACAAAATAATAAAATATATATAAAACAATAACAAATTCTCACGACGTTTCGACCATAACTCAAACGACCGTTTGAGTTATGGTCGAATTTTTTTATTGTTTTATATATATTTTATTATTTTGTTGTTTCCCTTCAACGTGACTTTACCGAAAAAACTAAGAATATGAACTATTATTTGTTTTATTTTACCAGGCAAGGCCCACTGAGCTAAGCAGCTCTCTGTCAGAGGCGACCTGGCCACAAGTGACGGCTCGGCAAAGTGGGCTCATCATCACGCGGAAATGTAAGCAGCCAAATGCTCGGAACGCGTGACGTCGATTCTACATGTGGAGGGAAAACACATCCACACCACCCGGAGAAAAATCCACCCGACCACGGGGAGAGAGAGACAGAGAGAGAGAGAGAGAGACACGCAGCCTCCAGATGTACGGCAGCAGGCGAGGTGGTTAACATCTCTCCGGTCGAGGTGACTCTCTCTGCAAGGCGATTCCGCTTGGAGACAGTCCAGCGGCAAGAGAGGAAACGTTTGCAGGGCAGCACCTGCACGCCTACACACCCCCCTGCGCCACGCGGGAAGGCGTCATCATTTTGCACGTTAAAACGCCGTTATTACAGACGTACATATTGGCAGATTCGCTGCAGGTGCCCGGGCGAGTACGCGGTCCACGACCCCCCAACCCCCACAGCGTGTCACCTCGGGGGGGGGGGGGGAGGTGTGGGGGGCACCGTGTTAAGGCAACGAGAGCATCTCTGCTCACCCTCCCACCCACGCGCGGCTTCTCCCGGTGGCCCTCCCGTCTCCTCCCACGCTCGGGCAAACGGCAAAACAAAAAAATACAAAACAAGCGACTCCTTAACGAGCGAGGAATTGGACAAAACGTCCCCGGCGCTAGCAGCAGCAGCAGCAGCAGGACCCTCGACAAGAGTACCGAGACCAGGCGTCGCTGTGCCGGGATTGACAGGAGGTAAAAGAGGGGACTCGTGGAGGTGGGGGGCTAAAGGCCTTGGCGCTATTTGCACGCTCACTCGTTCTCGTCACTGCTCGCGAAAGCGGCCTCCGCCGCGCTGGAGTTCTGGATCGTAGTTGGCCTACTCTTCCGCGCTGGTCGGTTGGCTCGGACAACGTGCGTTCGCCCGCATGTTGTTTTAACCCCAACCCCCCCCGCCCCCCCCCCCCCCGCACCTCCGATCAGCACGGTTGGCTACGTACGGCGAAGCGAAAGAAGTTCCGACACGTACGGAGATATGCACAACCCACCGCGCCCGACATGCTGATCGTCTAACCGATGGATTACACGGGCGGGGGGGTGCGGTAGCGGGCGCACTCTGGGCATGCCGACCGCTACAGCACCCGCGGCAGCAGGATGGGTGCTAAACAAATGGCATCGTTGTTAATTTGAGGGTTAGCGTCTTGAGTGAGCGTAAGTTGGTGGGTGGGTGGGTGTGGGTGTGGGTGGGTGGCCACACGCTCCGGCCCATCTGGCCGGCGCTGGTAGAACACGTCCCGTGAGCAGCGCTGGCCGCCCGTGGCTGCCAAGCCGATGCCGTTATTTACGTCCAATAAAGATTTTTTAATTAGGGAACTGTTCTACCCGGGGGGGGGGGGGGGGTGGGGGGGGGGGCAGGGAGCGGGGGGTGCGTGGAGAGCCGGCCGCTGGCGATGGGGCCGGAGATCGGTGACGGATCGCTGCAATAACCACGGCGTGGGAGCGGCACAGAGAACCCGGCACGGGCGTTAATTTCCTTAACGAGATCGGCGGCGGACAAAATTCGTCAACGGAGCCGGCTTTGCTTTTTTTGTTGTTGTAATTTTCACTTATTTATTTATCCGCTCTCCCTCTCAACCGAGCCGTCGGCACGGTGGGTGGGGGGGGGCGGCCCGGCGGGTTTTGTTCCATTATTATTTTATATTATTATTATACATCATCATCATTATTACAGAAGTGCGCGTGACTTGCAGGGCGGGGCGGTGTGGGCGGGGGCCTTGCGAGTCGCGCCCTCGAGGAGGTGCAGCAACGAGGGAAGCCCCCTACCAAGCAGCAGCTGCCGAATTATTTATTTATTTATACCCCCCTCCACTCGCCGCCCACCCACCCACCCCCCATCACCCCGCCCCTGCTCGCCCACCACCGCCGCCAACTCCGCGTCTCTGCAGTACGGCAGCGAGAAGCCAGGCACGTGGCAGCGGGAGCCACAAGTGTGTGTGTGGGGGGAGAAACGGTGGTAGTGTGGGGAGAAACGGTGGTAGTGGGGGGGAGAAACGGTGGTAGTGGGGGGGGGGAAACGGTGGTAGTGGGGGGGAGAAACGGTGGTTGTGGGGGGGAGAAACGGTGGTAGTGTGGGGGGAGAAACGGTGGTAGTGGGGGGGAGAAACGGTGGTTGTGGGGGGGGAAACGGTGGTAGTGGGGGGGGAAACGGTGGTAGTGGGGGGGGGAGAAACGGTGGTAGTGTGGGGAGAAACAGTGGTAGTGGGGGGGGGGGGGGAAACGGTGGTAGTGGGGGGGGGAGAAACGGTGGTAGTGGGGGGGGGGGGGGAAACGGTGGTAGTGGGGGGGGGAGAAACGGTGGTAGTGTGGGGGGAAACAGTGGTAGTGGGGGGGGGAGAAAACGGTGGTAGTGTGGGGGGGAAACGGTGGTAGTGTGGGGGGAAATGGTGGTAGTGTGGGGGAAACGGTGGTAGTGGGGGGGGGAAACGGTGGTAGTGTGGGGGGGAGAGTGGGTGGGGGGGGGGGGAAGTGATAGTGGGGGGTCGCAGGGTGGGGGGCCAGAAGAGGGACATTCGCATTCCGGGCCTTGCCAGCACCACCACCACCGCCACGGCCGCCGCCGCCGCCGCCGCCGCTTAAGAAACACCAAGTTGCTTCCAGAAGAAAAAACCCTCCTCCACAAGTGGAAAGAGATGAATAACGATCCGTCCGGAGCACGCTCCGACCTTTTACTCGATTCCGCCTAAGACGCTTGCCAAGGCTCTGCAGGATTAAGAGGGGAGAGAGGGCCGCGGGAAAAATTTCATCTCGCGGGATTGGACGCGCAAATGGAGAGGGACGGATGCACACACTCAACACAGACACATACACGCGGCTCAACGCCGATGCGTGCATGCAACTGCTCCCCGTTTGCCGCTCCCACAAAGACAAAGATCCCATGCATAGCCTTGACAGTCGTTTGGGGCAAGTGCTGCGAAGCGAGCAAGCAAGGGTGGCCAACACCAAGCCCGGCCGCCTTTGTCTCCGCAGTGGTGATGGTTACTACACACACACAGCACCAGGTACTCATTTGAGGCCGAGTCGACCTAGGGGAGGCCCAGGGCCGGTTCAGATAATCGTCGCTGGTGTTGGTGGCCGTGAGCGGTAATCTAACTGCTACACCACCGCTCCCTACACACACACACACACACGCATGCGCGCGGC